GACAAACTATGGAGAAAGAACACGGAGAGGGGGAGGAAAGAGAACTGCCAGGCTCGGTTTTGTTTTTGTTTTTAAATTTTTTTGAAAGATTTTATTTACTTATTTGACAGAGAGAGACAGAGTGAGAGAGGGAACACAAGCAGGGGGACTGGGAGAGGGAGAAGCAGGCTTCCCGCGGAGCAGGAGCCCAATGCAAGGCTCAATCCCAGGACCCTGGGACCATGACCCGAGCCGAAGGCAGATGCTTAACGACTGAGCCACCCAGGCGCCCCATGTTTTTAATTTTTTTTAAAGATTTATTTATTTGGGGCGCCTGGGTGGCTCAGTCGTTAAGCATCTGCCTTCGGCTCGGGTCATGGTCCCAGGGTCCTGGGATCGAGCCCCGCATCGGGCTCCCTGCTCCGCGGGAAGCCTGCTTCTCCCTCTCCCACTCCCGCTGCTTGTGTTCTCTCTCTCGCTGTCTCTCTCTGTCAAATAAGTAAATAAAATCTTTAAAAAAAAAAAAAAAAGAATACCTGAAGATTTAAAAAAAAATAAATAAAGATTTATTTATTTATTTGACACTGAGAGAGAGATCACAAGCAGGGGGAGCGGCAGGCAGAGGGAGAAGCGGTCTCCCTGCTCTGCAGGGAGCCCAACACGGGGCTTGACTCCAGGACCCAGAGATCATGACCTGAGCCGAAAACAGACCCTTAACTGACTGAGCCACCCAGGCACCCCAAGATTCCCCAAATGTTAACATTTTACCATGTTTGCTTTATCAATGTCTTATCCCACTATATAAACACGTGATACAGATATAGGTATCTGGCACATACATACATATATACATATACATGTGGGAAGCATGTTTGGGTGTGCACAAATATACATATATGTGTATTCTTTTTCTCTGAATTATTTGTTTTTTTTTTTAAAGATTTTATTTTGGGGTGCCTGAGTGGCTCAGTTGGTTAAACATCCAACCCTTGATTTCAGCTCAGGTCATGATCTTAGGGTCATGAGATCAAGCCTCACATTGGCTCCTCTCAGAGCATAGAGCCTGCTTAAGATTCTCTCCCTCTCTCTCTGCCCCTTCCTACCCCCTTGCATGCACTCTCAAAGAAAGGGGGGCACCTGGGTGGCTCAGTCAGTTAAGTGGCTGCCTTCAGCTCAGCTCATGATCTCGGAGTCCTGGGATCAAATCCCGCTTCAGGCTCCCACTCAGCGGCAAGTCTGCTTCTCCCTCTCCCTCTGTGATCTCTTTCACTCTCACTGTCTCTCAAATAAATCAATAAAAAAATTTTTAAAAATGTTTTAAAAAACAAAAATAAGAAAGAAAGATTTTATTTTATTTTATTTTAAGATTTTTATTTATTTGGCGCAGGGAGGGGTAGAGGGAGAAGGAAAGGGAGAGAGAGAATCCCAAGCAGACTCCTCACTGAGCATAGAGCCTGACACGGGGCTCAATCCCACGACCCTGAGATCATGACCTGCACCGAAACCAAGAGTCGTATGCTTAAAAAAATGAGTCACTCAGGCCCCCCTAAAGATTTTATTTTTTAAGCAAACTCTTAAACTTACAACCCCAAGATCAAGAGTCACATCCTCTACTGACTGAAGCAGCCAGGTGCCCCTTCTCTGAGCTATTTGAATGTCAGGTTTACTGACATATACTTTACATATGATAAACGTATCCCTTCTGAGTGTAGGGTTTGCTAAATCTTGAAAATACAGTGGGAGGGCGAGGGAGAGAGAAAATATTGAGCAAACTCTGTGCTGAGCACAGAGCCCTATTCGGGGCTCAATCTCACGACCCCGAGATTATGACCTGAGTCAAAACCAAGTCTGGCGCTTAACTGACTGAACCACCCAGGGGCCCCTGTCTGGCTAGAGGTTTAACAATTTCCTTGACATTTTCAAAGAGCCAGTTTATGGTTTCATTTATTTTTCTCTATTGTTTTTCTGCTTCCTATTCACTGATTTCTACTCTTTACGATTTCCTTCTTTCTGCTTACTTTGATTTTATTTTTTTATTTTTAATTATGTTAGTCATCATACAGTACATCATTAGTTTTTGATGTAGTGTTCCATGATTCATTGTTTGCGTATAACACCCAGGGCTCCATGCTTTGATTTAAATTTGCTCTGCTCTGTCTAGTTTCTTAAGATCAAAACTGAGATCATTGATTTTGGAACTTTCTTCTTTTCGCATATATTCATTGTTAATACTATAACTTTCCCTCTATTATGCTGCTTTAGCTGCATCACACACTTTGCTGTGTTATGTTTTCGCTGTCATTCAGTTCAAAATATTTTCTAATTTTCTTTGTGCTTTCTGTCCACATATTATTTGCTGGTGCATACAGGTATATTAAAAGTTAAAACAAAATCCATAGATGAGAATGATACATAACAACCTCCAGATGGGGCTTATCCCTGGGAGTAAGGGACAGATGGAAATGGGATGGAAAGAGTGGTAGATATTAACAATGCTCACCAACATTTCCGTTCTCTTCATCTTCAGAGCACATGAGATGATCACACTTCCTGACCCTTTGAAGTTGTATTTGCTCTAGGCAATGAAACGTGAGCAGAAGTGACATATGCCACTTCCAAATGGAAACATCTGAGAGCGAATGTGTGAGTCTTCGTGCTCCCTTCCCTGCATGGTGAGCCCTGAAGTCTCATGTTGAGATCACAGCATCATAAAATGAGGGAGCAGCCATCAGCCTGGGGTCCTGGGAGACTACAATAAATACAGCTCTCTCCAGTCAATCCTCACTGGATATAGAGAATGAGAGAAAAACAGACCTTTGTTATTTAAAGCTACTGAGGTTTGGGGATTGTATGCATAACCTAGCCTTTCCTGACTAATAAGGGAGCTTTGACTGGGTAGTTGGGACATGAGTGTTTGTCAGGTAATTTTCTATGATTCCTGTACATTTTAAATATGTAGTTTTTTTCAAGGAAAGCAATATTAGAGGAGGAGAGGAGGTAGAAGAGGAGGAGGAGGCGACTGGGGTGTTGGACTCCTTTGTTCTACCCCACAAGGTGTTTCTCCATTTAGACTTTGGGTCTGGGCAGGTCAAGGGAGAGGGGCTTGTCAGTTTCTCCAGCCAGATCATCACCTGGGACAGGTGCTCTCCCTCCCCCTGCGTCTTCAAACTTGTCACCATCTGGCATGTTCTATATTTATTTACATGTTTATTGTCTCTTACTCCATGGAAGTAAAGTCCTTAAGACCAGGGACTTTATTTATAATGCCAGTGCCTAGAACAGTGTCTGGCACCCAGAAGCAACTCAGTAATAAACTCTGTTTATTTAAATGAACAAATCCAGTTTCCACTGGTCATCCCTGCCCAGAGAGGAGGGACTCCGTCTTCTCCCCACTCCACATTCCTTCTCCTTTGCCCTTCCCCCAAAGTGAACACACAATGGAGTCGATGAAAGCATAAGCAGCTCTCTACTCAAGGGCTCAGTTATAAATTCCAAAGCCATGGTTCCGTGGAGCGTGTGTCTCTGCTCCTGCATTTGTCTGTCTGTTTAGGGATGGGATGAGGGCATCGGGGGCTGTGCTCCTTCTGTAGCCATCTTCTTCTTTTTTTAAAGAAGATTTTTATTCATTTATTTGAGAGAGAGAGAGCGAGAGAGCATGAGCAGTGGGGAGGGGCAGAGGGAGAGGGAGAAGCAGGCTATCCTCTGAGCAGGGAGCCAGATTCGGGACTAGATCTCAGGACCCTGGGATCATGACCCAAGCCGAAGGCAGACGCCTAACTGACTGAGCCACCCAGGTGCCCTGAAGACGGCTTCTGCTCCATTCCCTGCCCAGGTGGGAGTCTGGTGGAGAATGGCCAGAGAGACGTGGATAGATACACCTCCCCACCAAGGCCTTCCCCACAGCCTCAGGGAGGAGCCTGGAGCTTGGCTTTCTCCAGCAGATGCAGGGAACATGGGCCTCGCTACCAAGGCTGTTGAGGGGGCCTTTGGCAGCCCCTGCCTCACGACTCAGCTGAAGAAGTTCCCTGGCCACTTGGGCATGGAGAGGCTCTGGTTCCACCAGCCCACGCAGAAGCCTGAGCTCGTGTAATTAGACATAATGACACATGCCGGGAGCTTCCAGCATCTCATGCTTTAATGACACACCCACCTCCCAGCCCATCTCAGGGACCAGTGAGGCTCTAATTAAGTCTGGCGTCAGCAGGTGGGAGAGCCAAGGGACGAGGAAGCAAGGAGAGAAACTTGGCCTTGGAGTTCATCACCCTGTGTGCCAAGTCCAGTTAGGCTACTTTTTGACTATGAGGCTCTGGGCAAAGCCAATTCCTTTTCCCAAGCTTTCATTTTCTCATCTGTAAAATGGGGCTATAAATTTACACCACACAGGGCTGTTGTGAGGAGTGTGAGTTCTCTCCAGGGACGCTGCTGGTGGGACTGGGACTGGACTGGGGCTGGACTGGGGCGAGAATGACCTGCGTCTTGGGGAGGGTCTAGGTGCAGAGGAAACCACCACACCTCCAAAGGCCAACTTGACCAAAGCGAAGACATGTACGCTTCTAGTGCATTTGTTCTTCTTTTAAAATAATATCCTATGAATATTTTCTTTCACTGTATCGCATGGGAAATTTTCATTTTAGACTGATTTTTTACAAATCCCTTAAAAAGCCCTTTTCTGTCTTCTCAGCACTTCAGCATTTGGGGGATTCTTTGCAGATTTTGCTAAATAGGCAACTCCACAAATTGTCCAAATTTGTTGCTTTGCTCAAAATGCATTTTTTTTAATTATATTTTTCGGTTTTGATCTGAATTTTTATTAAAACTGTACATGCCCTCCATTCTGCAAGACTTACAATGGAGCGTCCTATCTAATCTCTTTGCCCTCAATTCCCAGCCACCAGAGACAACCGCTTTCAACAAGACACAGCAGTTTCTTTGTCATTTACTTTTGTGCTCCCAAATAACATGCTCATGCTGTTTTTTTTAAATTTTATTTAAATTCATTATTCATTGTTGAAAAACTCTTTATTGAATAAAATGTATAAAATATCAATGTATATACAAAGGGATTTAATGCATAATATATACAATCATCTTTAAAAAGGCAGGATGCAAATCATTATAATGAGTTCTTTCCATCCCCTTTTATTTCTTTTTTTTTATACTTTCTGTTTCTTTAAGACTGAGCCAGCCAGGCGCCCCATCCCCTTTTATTTATTGATTTTTCAGTTTTAGATTTAATCTGCTGCCTTCCTACTTTAGAAAAGAAGAGTTTCCTTCATGTACAATACCCCCTTTCATGCTTCTCCTGGTAAAATCTTCCTTAGATGATCATATCATACTTTTGGATTAGATAAATATTCAGGGTTTATTTTGTAACAATCTAAATGTTATAGACAGCCCAGACACATGGAGTACTATGATTACATTTACTTTCTTTTTTTTTAATTTTTAAAGATTTTATTTATGTATTTGAGAGAGAGGAGAGAGAGAGAAAGAGAGCAAGAGACAGCGCGAACAGGGAGGAGAGGGAGAAGCAGGTTCCCTGCGAGCAGGAAGCCCAACGTGGGGCCTGATCCCAGGACCCTGAGATCATGACCTGAGCCAAAGGCAGACGCTTAACCGACTGAGCCACCCAGGCGCCCCTGTGTTTCTGTTTCTCCTGGGATTATTCATCTTCCTTTTGTTTGCTCACTTGTATTCGGGGCCACCCGATTAACCCCAAGCCCTATACCAGCAGATGTGTCCTCTGCTTCCTCCTTTTCTTACAGATACACAACAGTAGTCTCCTTTAACACTTTCACAAAGTTGTGCTGCACGGGATTAAAAAATAATTTTAAGATACTTCAAATTGCAGAGAACGTGCAAGAACGGTGTGAAGAACTCCATTTGCCCGGCAATCAGACACCCCACTCACGTTTCACCTGTTGCTGCCGTGATGTCACCTACAGAAAGTGACACAGCCCAGTATCCCGCGTCCTGCCTCTTCAGTTGCTCTGTCCTGCCTCGAGCTTCACACTCGTAATGTTTTAAAGAGAACAGGGCAGTCATTTTGCAGAAGGTTGCTCGATTTGGGTTTATCCGCGTTTCCTGGTAATTATGCCAGGATCGTGCATTTTGGGGACAGGGACACCACAGGAGAGACGCTGTGCTCTCTCCCTGCCCCTCTCCGGTGCCATTCAACATCAGCTTGTTGACACAGTGGTGTTAACTTCAATCAACTCACCATTTGACTGGGTTTCTCCATCGTCAAGGTCTTGTGCTACTTTTGTACAAACGAGCTTCCAGGTGGAGATACTTTAGCACTATGTAAAAATTCCACTCCCTATTTCACGTATGCCCCTAGTTTTAGCGTCCCTCGATGTCACCTACCTGAAATCACCATCATCATCACAGTTGCCAAGAGGTGGTTTTCTTCTTCCCTTATTATTTGGCATTCTACCGTAAGGAAAAGCATTCTCTTCTCATTTATTCATTTGTTTGTTCACAGCAGTGTGGACCCATGGATTCCTAGTTTATCTGATGGACTATGATCCACTGCTCTTTTATTTTGGTATTTGAATCACACCAGGTTTGGCCAGAAGAAGCCCCTGCCGCTCTTGCGTCCTTTTGACACGTCCCTTCATTCTCTGGGCACGCCTTCGCTTTGTGACACCAGGCTCATCTCGTACTTTCTCTGGCCCCGCCTGGGAGCCAGCCATTCCTCCATAGAGCTTGGTATCTGTCTAGGGGGAGGACGATATCTTGAAAATAAGATCTCGGTGCTAGGTGTGCTTGTTGCTACCAGTGTATTGCTACTCCCAGACCTCCTTGATGAGCAGAGCTGGAGAAAACACACACACACACACACACACACACGCACGCACACACACACTTTAAACCACGCATTCTCACTGACAGCTCCAATTCCAGCCCGGCACCATGGGGTTCTTCAGTGTCCTCCTTTCGGAATCCATGCCTCCCTTGTCACTGAGAAATCTGCCTCCTTTAATCCACGGTGGATGATGCAACTGCTCCATCCCCTGCATACTGTCCTCTGTCCTCTGACCCCCCAGGCTGTGGTCGCACCCAACTTTAACTCTGGCCTCACGAGGGCGACCACATCGCCCCACCGGCACCTGCCTGGTGACCTTCAGCTGCATGAACTGAGAAAGGAAGGCAGGCAGGGGGAAGAAAGGAAAGAGGGGAGAGTGGGGGAGGCGGGGAGAACGGAAAGCAAGAGAAAATAGGCCGACAGGCATGGGATGGTTTTTATAGCTTTAGAAGATGTCTGGGATTTTCAGGAATGCTCCCATTGTCTCTACCCCACCTCCCTGATGTAGCCACTGGAGGGAACTGGAATGAAGACTCTGGGGAGAGTGGGCTGCACCCCAGTCTGAGCTGCAGATCCCAGAGGTGGAGGAGTCTGAGGGCCCCCGACCCTGTCTTCCCTGGGTCCTTCCAAGGCCTTGCCGATTCATCTCCTGCATATTGTTAAAGACTTTACAAATTTAAAGAAATTTTTTTTAAGTCGGAGTGAATATGGTTAGCTCCATGAGTTGGTGATAGGGCAAACTGGTTCCCTGCTTAACTTAGTTATGGTGAGGACTGGGGGGTAAAGGTGGTCACTACTCACAGACTCTTGGGTCCTCTCCTCCTCTACCCCCAGTACTTCTGCTCAGCTGTGTTTGAACTACTGGGCCTCACCGTGACCTTCTCAGATGTAGAAAGAAAATTGAGCCTGGATGCAAGCCCAGCTGGGCCTCCAGCTTGCTGGGTGACCCTGGGCAGGCCCCCCTGCCTTCCCTGGGCTTCAGCTTCCCCTTGGGGAAAGGAGACGTTGGCTTCTAAGTTCTGTGCAGCTCTGCCTTAGGCGGGGGCACCCACAGCTGGGGACCGGTGGAGTCCTCTTTGGCCACCAGCTCCCAAGGCCAGGGAGAGAGGAGCCAAGCTCCCTTCCTCTGCCGGAGGAATAGTTCGGCTGGCTGGGCCTGGGCCTGTAGCCAAGGGGAAACACAGACAATATGCTGGAGTCACCCTGACCGCCTGGGACAATGGTTGTGCAACTTCCGCCCCCAGGCCAGCAAATAAGACTGTGGCCTCTGGACTTTGAGCTCCAGGCAGCCCTCTCCCCTCCCCCAGGGCCCAGGCCTTCCAGCTTAGGGGACAAGGCTGGGGGGAGTGGACAGGGTACTTTCTTAGTCCCAAGGGCAGCCAGGTGGCTCTGGGTTCTGTGAGGAGGGTCTCACCAAGAGCGGTCAGCACGCAAGCCGTGGGAGCGGTGGAGGAGGCCGGCCAGGGGAGGCTCTGTGTGAAGGCCCGTGTGCCTGTGCGTGTGAGTGGATAGCGGCGTGAGTGAGCCGGGCGGTCGGTCCCACAGTCCCGGTCATCGGGGGAGTGATACTGGAGGGTTGTCTGGATGCTGCTCCCCCACCCCCCACAGCATGGGAGTCCAGGTGTTCCGGGGCACCTTGGCGAGCTGCTGTGTGTTAGCCGTTCGCCTGCGTGCACGTCGTGGGACATGGTGCGGATGGCATATATGTGAGATTATGCACATGGGTGGGATTCCGTGGGGCCACGTGTGGGCTGCGCGGCTCTGAGTGTGTCCTGATGAGTGTGCATGTGAGTATAAACCCATGTATGTGGGCACATAGGGGGTTGCTCGTGTCTGCCCGCTGTGGGTACAAATGAGTGCATGTGCTTATGCACGCGTGAGCCCCCGTTGCTGAGCCTGTGGTCTCCGTGGTGGTGGGGTGGTTTGTAGACACGTGTGGCCTCTGGTACGGGTGAGTGCACTTGAAGTAATGGATGCTCATGCAAGTGCTGGTGTAGGACACGTGTCCCTGGGGACCTGGTCCAGCTCCTCACGTGCTTCGCCCCATCGTGCCGCACAAACCTGCCAAGGACTCTGCATGCTTCCAGTAAGTCTGCACTCTGAGCCCCTGTTTCCCCACCTGTACCATGGAGGGTGAGGTTGGACGGGAGGAGTTATCAGCCTCCTCCTACCTTTGTGGGGGCTTGTGTAAGCACCCCTAAAGTACATGTATAATATGAGGGAATTGAGAGCCCAAAAATCCTAGGATTTACCTTGGCCCCTAGGTGAGTAGGGGAAGTAATAGGGGAAGCCAGGAACCCAGAGCCTGGGATGGGGTACACCCAGGAAGGGCCTAGGGGACCTGTTGGAGCCTCCCGTCTGACCAGGCCCTGCTGTGGCCTGGAGGCAGGGGGCTGCCTGGAGTGACCTCGACCCAGGGCTCTGGAATGGGAGAAGGGACGAGGGGGATCACGGCCAGCAGACCTCTGGGAGCAGCCCCCAACAGGTCAGGGGCACTGGTTGGGAGGCAGGACGACACCTCTCTACTCACCCAAAGGAATCTGTCCTGGCTTCTTTGCTCCTTATCAAGTGGGGCCCTGGGTGGCTGTGCAGTCATGGAGGAGCCTTCATTCCCCTCAGGGTTGGTTTGAAAATTCAAGGGCTTTGGCCCGAGTCCCAGGGATGATCCTGAAGCTGGAGGAAAAGATACACTTTCTGAATGCTGCGGGGGGTGGGGGGCAGCATGGGGTGCTCGCTGCCTTCTTCTTTACGCCAACTCCTAGCAGTTCCTCCCAGCCGCAGCGCAGACAAGCCTTTGTGCAGCATAGTAACGAGACAGCATGGAAGCTTCATGGTACACTCCATCTTTGCTGCAAAGGGCAGTGTTAGCACTAGAAAGTTCTGTTCGCGGGGAGCAGGTTCACTGCAAAGAGCTTGAAGGAGGGGCGCCTGGGTGGCTCAGTCGTTAAGCGTCTGCCTTCAGCTCAGGTCATGATCCCGGGATCCTGGGATCGAGTCCCGCATCGGGCTCCCTGCCCAGCGGGGAGCCTACTTCCCCCTCTCCCTCTGCCCTGCTTGTGCTCTCTCTCTCTTAGTCTCTCTCTCTCTCTCAAATAAACAAATAAAATCTTTTAAAAAAAAGTGGGGCACCTGGGTGGCGCAGATGGTTAAGCATCTGCTTTTGGCCCCTGGGATCGAGCCCCACATCGGGCTCGCTGCTGAGCAGGGAGTCTGCTTCTCGATCTCCCTCTGCTTCCTCTGCTTGTACACACTCTCTCTCAAAAATAAATGGAATCTTAAAAAAAAAAAAAAAAAGAGCTCGAAGGTGCTAGAGTCCCGTCCAGCCCTGGTGTGATGTGCCCACAGGGCTTGGATTCTGACCCCAACCACCCAGGGCAAGGACTCTGGGTTTGGAGAAGAGGGAGGAGATTCCAGGGAAAGGAAAGTCCTAGATGTCTCCCGCAAAAGTCAGGGCCAGTGTGAGCAGCAGAAAGCACTCTAGGTATTTCGAACAGAGGACATTTAATATGGGGGATTGGTCACACGGGAGAGGAAAGGGCTGAAAAGCCAAACAGCAGATGGTAAGACAGTCTAGTTAGGGCATAGCTACTACCACTCCAGGCTCGAGCGACCCACGGAGGCGGTGACGATTCTGCCTGGGGGTGGCTGAATCACAGCCGGAGCCACTGCGGGGCTGGACCACCGAGGAACTGGCGGCTCCGTAGGAGCGAAGACAAGAAGACAGTAGTCAGTGCTGGAAAAATGACACCCTGTCCCCACTAAGCAGAGGGAGAGGGGGAGAAATAGCCTGGCTTCTCCCACCCCCCAGTCCTCTCCCAGCACTTCCCATTGGCCCAGCCCAGCGAGAAGCCAGTTGGCAAAGGAGCCTGGGAAGAGCGGTTTGCAGGAGCTGGGCAGCCGCATATGCAAGCAAATGGGCAATAGCCCGCACTTCCCCATGTCGCACTCTGCAGGCGCTGAGAACTCGGGAAAAGCAAAGAAAGACTTGGCACCGTCCCCGGGACTGTGGATATGACGACGTTTTGATAAGAGTTGAATGGACTGCACATACACACACACCTTTCCCGGTGCCACATGCCCCCTGAGTGAGGCTTCATGCCGTCCGCACTGCAGCTCAGCAAACTCAGGACAAGGCCCTTGTGCTGTAGTCGAGGAAACCGAGGCTTTCGGAAGGGAAGTGTCTTCTCTCAGGCCCCACAGCTGGAAAACGGCAGAACCAGGGCTCACACCCCCTCAGTGTGACTCCAGGGACCCTGGGCCTGGGAGACAAATGGGAAGTCTGCTGTTAGGCCCTACTGTTGGGAGCAGATGCTGATTATCAGTCTGGGTTGGAGGCACTGGGTAAAAATTCTCTGAAGCCGAGAGGCCTTGGACGGGTAGAGGCCAGCTGGGGAGAGAGCCACGGTTGGCAGACTGGGGAAGAGAGTGTGGTGGTAAAGAGCAGGACTTAGGGGCCCAACAGGCTGGGTCAAATCTGCTCTGCCACATACCAAGGGTGCGACTGGACCTCCGTGCCTCAGTTTCGCATCTGTAAAATGGGCATAATAGTGAGAGTAGTCCCTGCTTCACAGGGCTGTGTGAGAACTGAAAGTTGGATAAGTGTTTGCTACTATTACTTGTTATTCTTATTTCTGTTTTATAGGTGAGGAATTGAAGCTCTGAGAGGTAGAGCAGATAAACGAAGATGGCACCACTAGGAAGCAGAATATGACCGAGTCTGTGCCGACTCTGTGGCACTCACTCCCACCCTTTCCTTCTCTGTCTGCCCCCCACAAGACTCCTTCTTTAACTCTGTGACCCACACAACCCACCCCTGCTGTGATTTGGAGTTGCCCTTCTCCTTGCATCTCCCCTCTGATAAGTCACCTCCTCCTGTCGGCCTCCAGGCTTGGGGATGCCACCAGCTTCCTGCTGTTGCTGATCTCTGGGTTGCAGCCTCATCCCCCACGGAGTTTCTCAGCTCTTCTAATCCTTCTAGCCAGCCCCTGGATTAACTTCCCTCCCTTAGAAACCTAGTGTTTCAGTGTTCCTGCCGAGACCCCGCCTGGTCCAATAGTCCCCGTTTGTTGTGGGATTCCTTGGACCAGGAGCTCTTCCCTGTGTTAATGTACAGGTTAGGAACCCTCACCCTACTTGACAGAAGCAGAAGTAGGGCATGTGGAGAGAAGCCATTCGCCTGCAGTCCCACAGTTAGCAAGCGGCAGGGCTGGGGCTCCCAGTTGGGAGGTGGAAATCTAGAGCTGGTGCCTCCCCGCCCACAGCCTTGCCTGCCGTTGGCCATCCTAACTGCCAGGTGACCGCCCCGATGGTGGCCTCTGGGACTTCTCCATCTGGCCGCTCAGAGACCCGCCTGAGCCTGGCATCTCGGCACGTTCTCTCCAGCGGAAGCCCCCTGTGTCTGCCGAGGGGCCAGCACGTCCCGTGGCCTCCCAGCTCTCTTCCTCCTCCCTCCTGCGCCTCTTCCTGCCAGGCTCTCCCCGGCTCCCTGCCACGCCTGGCGCAACGCTCCCTGCCAGGGCCCTCGATGACTCACCCACACAGAGCTCTCACTTCCTCCTTCGCGTCGGAGGAGGCTCTTGACCCGCTGCAGCTGCAGAAAGAGCCGCGGGCGCTGCTGAGGGCTCTGGGCCCAGACCTGAGGGGCTGGAGTGCTGTCCCAGTGGAGCACGGGGTGGCAGGAGGGCTCCTGGGGCTCCCTGCCAGATGCCGGCCTGCGCTGGACTCTCTCCAAATGGCCAGTCATCTACACAGCCTGGCATAACAGGAGATTGGCCTCGAATTTTTAAGCTGGAATTGTGCCTCTCATACTTACTGATGGCATTGGAGGGACCCATCTTCATTCATTCATTCATTCATTCATTCATCCATTTGTGCATGGGTGCATTCATGCCTTCTTCCCTTCATTCCCTCATTTAACAGATTTGTTAAAATCTGTCCTGGCCTCCTATGTACCAAGTAGTCCCCAGTGGACCAAGAAACCAGGTTCATTCTCTGCCCCTGAAGAGCTCCCAGTTGAGGGGGTGGGAAGTGGGGTTGAGGGGTGGATCTGTAAACAGAAAACCCAAGTAGGATTAAAGAAAACCCAACACAGTAGGGAAGCCTTGGAGATACTTCTGAGATCTCTTCACACAGTTTACCGCTATGTGTACACAGAAATGCCTCCTCATTACAACCTGGTTTCTCTCTCCCTTTAGAGCACTCTATAGCTCCCAGCTGCTCCAGGGAGTGGGCAAGGGCAAGGCTAAAAATTAAGCTTCCCTAAGCCTCCTCGGGGCAGGTGTATTGTACAGCCCCCTAGTCTAAGAGGATGGCACCTGGTTAAATGACCATGCTGTGGAGTCAGACCTGGGTTACACTCCCAGTCATTTTCTGACCACGGGACCTTAAGGAAGTTGGTCATCTCTGAGCCAAACGAAGCTATTGATGACCTCAGCATCATGTTTTTGCAAGAATTCAATGAGATCCTCCATGCAGAGCACCTGCACTCTAACACTGAAGCGCTCGGTAAAGGCCCGCTGTCACAGTGAATACTACTGTTTACCAGGAGGTTCTGTGGGTTCCTGATCCTGCCCGTGTATACATGTGTGTGCACGTGTCTATCCAGGGGGTGGTCAGGGAAGGCTTCCCAGAAGAGGTGACACTGGCGTTGTGTCTTAGAGGAGAAAGTGGGGGAAAAGTATTCCAGGGAAAGGGAAAGGCCCGATGCGGTCAGGGTGTGGGGAGTACTTTGGGGCAGGCGAAGGGACCAGGCCAAGAGTGGGCCTCAATGCTGCGGCCTGACTGGGGCCGACTGTTGGATCTGGGTGGGCGGGGGCTGCCCCAGCTTGGTATCTGAGATGCCGACAGCTCTCACACCTCTGCCCCCTCCCGTTTCTGGGCCTCCACTTCCTTCCCCTGCACAGACCACAGAGGCGTTTCAGAGGAAGCTGCTACTTATTTTAGCAGTGATCCCTGGACACCCCCACCCACAGTGCCCCTGCCCCTCTGGGCCCCTGAAAAGGCATCAGGCCATTTTTCTGAGTCACCGCCCAAAGCACTTATGGGTGAGGGCCAGGTCCTGCCCCCCTTCCCTGCAGCAAACCGAGCCCAGTCTCAATGCTGGAAGACATGGGTTCAAGCCCAGCTCTGACGCTAACTTACTGGATGACGCCCCAGTCCCTTCACCTTCCAAGCCCTGCGTCCCCACTGGGGCTCTGGGACCAGCCACTGGGCAGGCCCCGCCCTCTGGGCAGAAAGTGGGGTGGGGATGGATGTGTTGCCACACTCCCCTGTTGTCCAGCTGGCAGAACCAGAGACAGAGTCTCGGGCAGATCGAGTTGGGGGTGGGGGGCAGAAGCTTCCACTTTGTAGGTCTGTCTTTAAGAAAAACAGAATCACAAGTAAGATTTACTTATGAAAGTAATTTTCTATTTAGAAAGGACCTACCTGTGCAAGTGAGGAGCCCTGAAACTTTTTTTTTTTTTTTTTTGGCATCCTACAAATCTGCTTTTGGAGAGGGTCTCCCAAATCCTCAGGAGACAGTGGGGAAACTGAGGCAAAGAGAGAGGCTGTCACTGGCTCTACCCGGTCACACAGCTGGGGACTGGAAGGCTAGGATTTGAACCCAGATTTGTCAGAAATCAATGCCCACATTTTATCCCCTACCCTCGCTAGCCCTTCATAAGCCCATCATAGCCCCATTGGGGTGAGGAGGGCATGAAGGAGGAAGGGAGAGAGACTGAGAGCCAGGGCAGGGCAGTTCTGGCGACAGCACAGGACTGTGGCCAAACAGACTCACCTGAGTCCCAGCTCCGCCCCTTTCTAGCTGTGTGACCCCTCTGGAGCCTCAGTGTCCTCATTTGTAAAATGGGGTGATGGAGAGCAGTGGTGGGCTCCCTGCAGCAGCTGGCATGTGACGGTTCTTTTTCTGCCTTCACCTGGATCTTCTAAGTCGCCCTGACCCACACTGATAAGGCTAACCCTCGTCTAGCGCTTACCTGGTGCCGGGCATGGCTCTAAGTACAACTACTGAAACGTTAAATTTCTAATCCTCACAACAACGTGATGAGGTAGGTGCTCCCGTGTTCCAGATGAGGAAACGGAGGCCCTGCATCCATGCCAGGCTCTGGGCTGGGCATCGGAGATGCAGCTGTGACCCGGGGATGGTCTTTGGTCCTGAGGATCCCAAAGCTGGTGGCCTCAGAGGAGTCAGCACCTTCAGAACCCCAGAAGGATGCCGGGAAGTGTAACATTTGGGGTCTGCAGGAAATCTCAAGGGAGCAGAAGGGAAGGAGCCATTCTTTTTGACCAGAGGCTTCGTGTAGGATGTGGCACTTGGAGCAGAGCCCTATGGATTCCTAAAGGAATTTTCCAAGTTGATCAGAGTGGAGGGGCGTTCCAGGCAGAGGGAACAGCACACGTGCAAAGTCAAGAGGCAGAAGAATGCTTGTGGGGAAGAGGAAGGAACCAGGAGTTAGTAGATTTGGGGGAGTCTGTGGGCCAGGAGTAGTACAGAGGAAGCTGAAGAATTAGCTCCCTGGTTTCTGTCTTCCTTCTTGGGTGCCAACCTGTGAGCAGCGGCTTCAGTCCTGTGGGAGAAGTGTCTGTGAGGGGCAGGCCTGCTTGCGTGCAGGACAAGTGAAGGACGCAGAACCTCAGTCAGAGGCAGTCCCTGACATCAGTCTTTGGGGTGGGAAGCCCATGGCAAGGCCCCAGCATGACCCTTTGCTGCCTCCCCTCCTGCTCTTCTAGCTTTGACAGTTCAGAAGCCTTCCCCAGGGAGGTGAAGCAGGGGAAGATGTGGGCCGTAGGGTCGCCCCACTGACCAGCTTCTCGCCTCCTCAACTGATCGACCCCCTGTCCACCCTTCTGTCCATCCATGAGTCCATACCCCCAATGCTTACCTGGAGCAGTACTGTTCATGCATGGCCCATGTCCCCTCAGTCCACCCCTGAGGTCCCCTGCTCTGCAGTGACTGTCCTGGCTGCAGGGGGGGAACACCCCCGGTGCCCCCCAGCCCCCACGTCTCCATGTCCCTGCCTGGAACTTTCTCTGGTACCACAGAAGCCAATTTCCCACAGGGCATCCAGAAATGCCAGGGCTGGAATGTCCATAAGGGCAGCCCTCACCCACTGATGGATTGTGGACAGGGACCAAACACTCCAGCTTGCCAGTCACTGTGGAGGGCGACTCTAGGCACATTGCACACTGTGGCTCAGTGGATCCCCGGTGGGACTGAGGCCCAGGCGCCCAGCAAGTAATCCTCTCATGGGTACCCCTTATTGGATTTTCTCCCTTCCCTGTCATACCTTCCCAGTCCCTCACCCCTACTTCCCTAGATTATTGCTTCCCAGAGAAGCCACCTGCTCCCATCACCCTTCCCATGTCCCCTCCCATTCACCTGTTCATGCATTTGTCCAGACGGCAAATATTCATGGTACCCACTCTACTGGCCCCTTGCTAGATGAGGGGGACACAGCCTTGCCCTCAAGAGCCCATTAACTTGTGTAGATGGATGCGGGCTCCGGGGGGGGGGGGGGGCACTATTGAGCCGTCAGCCTCCATCGGGCGGGCTGGGGCAAGAGGAGGTAAGTGCTGGGTTAAGCCACTTCCTCATCCAGTCGTGGTTCCCCACCCTTGGCTCTCTCCTGTGTGTAACTTTCCAAGGAAGCTTCTAGCAGCCTGTGTTGTGTCCAGCAGGAAGGAAGGAAGAACAATAGTTAACACTTGTGCTCACTTCACTTGAGCTGCTTTACACATATTAAGCCCATTCATCTTCCCAGCAGCCCTAGGAGGGACTGATACTCTTAATACAAACTCCATTTTACAGATGGGGAAAGTGAGGTACCAAGAGTCTCACCCAAAGTGGTATAGGTAATAAGAAGCAGAGCTGAGATTTTGGTCCAGGCAGTCTGACTTCAGAGTCTGTGGTTTAGCTTCTGTGCTTTGCTGTTTGCAGAAGGAGGGAAGGCGTGAGGGCAGTGGGTTTGATGCAGAAGAAAGGAGTCAAATGCACACGAGGGTCTGGGCAGAGAAGGCAGATCAGCACAAAAAAGAAAAAAAAAAAAGCCCGGAAACATACTTCCACGCTAGTATGCTCTAGCATGCACAAATCCACGAATGCCATGTGCACACAAAGGCAAGCCTACACAAAAATGTGCGTTTAGCTGATTACATACGCATCCATGTAAGTGTGAACATACGTGCCTGTCCTACACAGAGATTTGCGTGCATCTGGACATGCCAAGGCCACCACACATACACACACGTTTGCACGTGTGAGCAGGCGTTGACACGCATGCGTGTTCACAGACAGATGCACACACACGCACGGTACATGGTCATTTGCACCCATGCACGTGCCCTTACACACACGGGCCCACACAAGTACAAATTCTTTGCTTAAAGAAAACTTGTGACTGTATTAAAAATGTAGGACACATTGGCCAAATAATTAAAGCGAGGAGCGAGGCAGTGGGACTTCTCGCCGCTCTCTCGGGGCCGCCTGTGCTGGGCTGTGCTCAGCGTGGCTTCGTCCTATATATTTGAGGAA